AAGTACATTCACGTTGTTGCACAATCACCACAATCAATCTCCAAAGTTTTTCATCACCTCATAACCAAACTCTGTCCCACTAAACAATTAACTCCCTATTGCCTCCCTCCCTCCAAGCCCGTGGTAACCACTGCTCTACTTTCTATCTCTATATATTTCATTCTTCCAGTAGAATATAAGTGGAACCAGACAGCATTCGTCCTTTGCCCTTTTGTGTCTGCCTGATTTCACTTAGCATAATGTCTACAATGTTCATCCATGTTGTAGCATATATCAGAAATTTGTTCCTTTTTAAGGCTAACATTCCATCATATAGTCCACACTTTAGCTATCCATTCATCTGTTGATGGAGGAGGCTTGGGTTGCTTCCACCTTCCACCTTTTGGCTATGCTGCTTTATCTGTTCGACTCCTTGATTTTAGTTCTTTTGTGTGTATACTACCCTAAGTGCAATTGCTGGATCGAATGGTAATCCTATGTTTAATTTTTAGAGGCCCACCATACCGTTTTCCACAGTGGCTGTGCCATTTTATAGTTCAATGAGCAATGTGCAGGGGTTCTAAGTTTTCCACATCCATGCCAACACGTATATGTGTGTGTGCGCGTGCACGCGTGAACAACAGCCATCCTGATAGGGATGAGGTGGTATCTTACTGTGGTTCTGATTTGTAATTTCCTAATGATTAATAATGTTGAGCATCTTTTCATGGGCTTATCGGCCATTTGTTTATCTTCTTTGGAGAAATGTCTATTTGAGTCCTTTGCCCAGTTTTGATTTGGTTTGTTTGTATTTTGTTGTCGAGTTTTAAGAGTTCTTTATATATCTGGGTATTAATCCCTGTATCAGGTATGTGATTTGTGATTATTTTCTTCCGTTCATGTGTTGCTAGTGTCCTCTCTGCACCACAAGTTTCTAAATCTGATGTTCCATTTGTTTATTTTTTCAGTTCAATTTATTTTTTCTTTCATTGCCTATGCGTTTGGGTCATATCCAAGAAATCACTGCCAAATCCAATGTTATTAAGTTTTATAGTTCCAATTCTTACTTTTAGGTCTTTGATCCATTCTGACTTAATTTTTGTATATGGTGTTTGGTAAGGGTTAAACTTCATTCTTTTGCATGAGAATATCCAGTTTTCCCAACTCCATTTGCTGAAAAGACTGTCTTTTCCATATTGAATGGAAACTGGCATCCTTACTGAAAATCATTTTACCATATACGTGAGGACTTATGCCTGGCCTCTCCATTCTGTTTTATTGGCGGTATGTCTGCTTTTTTGCCAGTACCACATATTTTTGATTACTGTAGCTTTGTAGTAAATTTTGAAATCAGAATGTGTGAGTCCCCCAACTTTGTTCTTTTTCAAAATAATTTTGGTAATTCAGGGTTCCTTGATATTCCATATAAATTTTAGAATGGATTTTACTATTTCTGAAAAGAATGTCATTGAGATTTTGATTGGGGTTGCATTGAATCTGTAGATTGCTTTGAGTAGTACTAACATCTTTAACAATATTATGTCTTCCAAACCATGAAGGAAGAATGTCTTTCCCTTTATGTATGTCTTCTTTGACTTCTTTCAGCATTGATTTCTACTTTTTAGTGTACAAGTCTTCCATGTCCTTGGTTAATGATTCCTAAATACTTTATTCTTTTGATTTACTGTAAATTGAACTGGTTTCTTTATTTCTTTTATTGCCTGTTCATTATTAGTGTATAGAAAAGTATCATTTGATTTTTAAATAAGACCCATGTATTACACTGATAAAAGATAGATACATCAAAGAAAAAAAAAAGATACATCAAAAGGAAGAGAATTCTCCAGAACTCAAGCTTAATCAGAAGGGAGATAAACTGCATTTAAACATCTTATACTATTCAATCAGATTATGAATTTCAAATTTAAAAAAAAGCTGATATTTCACATTGTTCAGTATGTTGTGCTGGAAGAATGAAGGTAAATTTCCACATATCTTTCTATGGACCTCTCTTTTCTTATTGCAAACAGAATTTGCTTTAGTCTAAAAAAATCACACTCTATAGCTTATGCCAATAGAGATGAGACGTATGAACAGAGAATTATCTTTTGTAGCTATCTGATTTCCTACACTCTCTTCCTCACATCTGTGAGTTTTGCCAGACTCTGTCAGTATTTTTACTCAAGCAAAACTCCTTATCACTGGAGATGTTCAACAGAAGTTCGATATGGAGATTTCAATTTGGACTGGGAGGGTGAATAGAAAATATTTAATGAATTGTTTTAATTCTTTTGCTTCTGCTATTCTAAGATCATAGGAACTAAAGATGCCAGAAGATATGTGGAAGGTTTAGAGTTAAGTAAAATAATAAAATCAACAAAACAAAAACAGTATAATGAAAACTTTTGGCTCAATAGTTATATTAGACCAGTGATTCTCAACCTGTGGGTAGCGACCCCTTTGGGGGTCTAACGACCCTTTCACAGGGGTTGCTTAACACCATCGAAAAACAAAAAGATATTTACATTATGATTCATAACAGTAGCAAAATTACAGTTATACAGTAGCAACGAAAATAATTTTATGGTTGGGGGTCGCCACAACATGAGGAACTGTATTAAGGGGTCGTGGCATTAGGAAGGTTGAGAACTGCTGTATCAGACCCAGCCAAAGTGGCTTTACTGTAAGCCTAAGAATATTCAACTAGAATGTGAGGAAAAAGCCCTAAGAAAAAGTTATTAAAATTATTTTTAGATTTCCAATTGCCTACACAAATTCTAGACATAGCTCTACAAAAAAAATGAATTTGTGAGACTTCTTTCTTTCCATCTATCAATCAAATACTTATTGAATTACTATTACATTCCCAACATTATGCTAGGCACTAAGGACATAAAAACAAAAATAAATATTCAATCCCTGCTTTCAAAGATCTCACCATCTAAGGTGGTAACATGGAAAGTGTGGGGTTGTAAAGAGTACCTGTTGCACCCTAGGTCAGGGGTAGGGAAGTAAGGAAGATGTCAGGAAAGGAAGAGGTCACCCTGAATTGAAACCTAAAGGATGAATAGGAAGTAGAAATTATCTATAATGTATTGGGCATTGTATTGGGCTAGGTGTTCAGGCTACAAAGATTAATCAGAGAAAGTCAGGACATAGGTCAAGAGAGGAAAAATGCCACATTCAAACTATTTACAAAATATTAAGGGCTGGCCAAGTGGCTCAGTTGATTAAGAGTGTGAGCTCTGAGCAACAGAATCACCGGTTTGATTCCCACGTGGGCCGGTGAGCTGTGCCCAAGCTGAGCTGCCAACAGGTGGCAGGATGGCTCAGCTGGTGAGAGCATGTGCTCCTAACAACAAGGTTTCCAGTTCGACTCCCGCATGGGATGGTGGGCTATGCCCACCCGCAACTAACATTGAACGCGGCACCTTGAGCTGAGCAGCTATGAGCTGATGACGGGTGGCTGGCTGGATGGCGACTGGACTTGGAGCTGAGCTAGCCGTGCCCTCCACAACTAAGACTGAAGGACAAAAACTTGTCTGTTCCCCTTCCCCAATTCCCCAATAAAATCTTTTAAAAAAAATATTAGGATTAAGTGTTATAAGGCAGACGTTATTAAAATAGAGAACAAACTCAGTGGGGAAGGGGAACACAGCATAGGAAAGGTGGCACACAGAAGCTAATGTCTAAGCTTAATCATGAAGAGTTTGCAGATATTCTACGCTGGCAACACAGGGAGAAGGGCATTCTAGGCAAGGAGAATAGTATGAGCACTGGAAAAAAGATATAAAAGTTCAACATGAAAGAGTCTAGCATGATTAGGAGTCTGCATATTGTTTAGTTGGGCTGAAACTGAAATGCAGGCTATGACGCAAAAAGAGAGGTGGGAAGACAATACCGTGAGAAAGGTGGGAAGAAATCACGTAATGAATGAAGCAGGGAGATGCCAGTGCTCTCGTATGGTTACTAAACCTTCATTATTTCTTTTTTTCTGAAAAACTTTGCTTTTCAAAAATTTGAGTGTTAAGGTTTTTTTCTTATTCAATTGTGAGACTACTTGATACACTAAATATAGTAACTTTTGTCATTACGGATACCTTTTCTTTAGTTTGAAGAGTTTTATTCATCTTTAATTTACAGAAGTTTTAAAATCTGATACAGTCAAATTCATTGCTTTGTTATCCTTCGTAATTGATACTACTGTTTTTATGTTTGAAAAATCCAGTTGGAAGATTATTGCAAGAAAATATCATAAAAGACCTACTGCAAGGTAAAATGGCGGGGAGGAGAACTAGGGTAGATTCAAGATATATTTAGGGGATGGGATTAATGATAGTATGTGAGAGGAGAGAGACTCAGAGAGAAAGTCACTATCTGGTAGGCAAGTTGCCTCAGAAGACAACTTTTCAACAAAGGAGCCTGAGATGCAGGAGGAATACTAGAAAATCAATTCAACCTTCAAGGAAGACAAGGTCAAAAGGCATCAGCAGAACATTCCACATCTGCTCTCTCTCAAGGACTACAATTATTATTTCTAGTTTCTATAGATTTACAAAATCCTGATTTTACTCTAGCTTAAGTCCATTAGAAAGTAACTTTTAAAACTTCAGTGTATTATAGTGAATCTTATTAATATCTATGACTGACAGCTTCATTAGCATGCCAATTATCAAACTGAATTTGATCCTCATTCCACACAATTCAAATGACCATTCTCCGCATCCCTAAGAAACTCCTAAGTTTTCTCTTTAGTAGATATACTTTTTCTCTAAATTCTATGGCAAGAAAATTAACCTAATAAAACAAGGTAAAGGAGCACCTTTTAGTTATTGCAACTTTGGTCTATTTTTTGGTTTTTAAGAGATCATGATGGCCTGACCGTGGCATAAGCTTTTGAACATATTCACAAAATTTATGACAAAAACAGTGAATATAATACAGATATCTAATCTTATTACCTGATATGTAAAAGTAAAATAATCTAAATTCACTTTGGCTATGGAAAACAGCTTACTCACCTGCGACCACATTCTGAATATTTACCAATATTTTTTAATATTAAGGCAGCTGTTAGTCGGATGTGTTTAGTTATTGGTCCCTCTTTTTCATCCTTAAAAAGGAAAAAAAAAGAAAAAGAATAAAGATCTAAATCATACAGTGCTCACACCTTTACAGATAAGGCTTTCAAGGCTTGCTTACTGTGAAATCTCGAAAGACAAGGTTCCGTGATCCTCTCCTAAGGGCCATAAGGGCAGCACTGGGATGATTCACGATGGCCTTCTGTGCTCTGGGCGTTGAGCTTGGGCCCCCTCCAGCGGGCTGCCTAAATTGATGAGAGAGAGAAAGAGACAGTCAACAGGATGCTACAGACAGACAGACAACGACCCACTTGTCAACCCCAGGGTGGTTACTTTGAAACTTTGGATACAGAATGAATAAAAACTCCCACGGTCCAGCATTAATGTTTATTCTTTGTGTCAGCCTAGGCAAAGAGGCTCTTAGTATCAAGGTGGTTTCAAGTCTTTTATTTTCCAATCTACTAATTTTAAGCAAGCAATAAATGTTTCAGTGTAGTCCATCTTTAAAGTTGTGCTGGTAAACATGCAATCAAAATAAATACAACATTAAGTCAGATAGAAAAGGACAAGGCTGTACTCATATATAGGCTATAAAACAGAAAGCAACAAAAGAACAAACAAAACAAACATACAAACTGGTAGACATAAAGAGTATGGTGGTTACTCGAGTTGAGAAGGAGGGTGGGGGGAGCACGGAGAGGGTAAAAGGGATTAAATATATGGTGATGGAAGGAGACTAGATGCTGGGCGGTTTGGGTGGTGAACACACAACGCAATATAAACATAGTGTATTATAAAATTGTACACCTGAAACTTACATAATGTTATTAACAATGTTATCCCAATAAATTTAATTAAAAAAATAAAACATAGTATATCAAAGTTGTGGAGTTCACATTTTTTAATGTAATGTGAAGATGTTAATAAAGAAGAAAATAGTCTACAATTTGAGCTGCAGGTTATTTTTACTAAACAGTACCTAAAAGTAAAATAATATTACCTAAGAATATACTGGTACAGGTATATAGGTCATCCAGGAAAAGATAACCTAATATGATAATATGAAATTATGCTAAACACTACATTGCAAACTATTACTTTGCTTCATAATCTTATTTTTCATCACTTAATAATTTTAATCCATCCGTTCAGTGTAGTTCTACTGTCCTTTATGCAAGACGTAAAATGGAAGGATTGCAGAGATGGATTTTATATAAAATTAGATTCAAACTACTCTAGATTTCTTTGGCCAAGCAGAAAAATTGCATTAGTATCTGTTGTATTCTGGTGGGGCAGTGGTGGAAAGAGAAGTGAGTTGCATGTGAAGAAACTGTGTCCATTTCCGACACTGTAACTAGCTGCATGACTCAGAATATTTCAGTTTGCCCCACTATACTTCAGATTTCACATCTGTAAAGTGGGGATATTTCTGGTATTTATTTATATAAAAAAACTAATTCAGAATATTAAATAAGTCAACGTAAAAGCAATCTTTAAATTGTATGCCAGTTTGTATCTACATTTATGTCTACAGAAAAAGACATCTATATGTAGATATAAACTTATCAGATACGATGATTTCAGTGACAGAGTTTTGACTGATTGTAACCAATATACCAACTATCTCTTCTTCCAAACTTGAGCAACACCAAACATATTCCAACATATTATTTTAAGCTATATAATACAAATTAAATACAGTGAAAATTATAGACAAAGGTATTTGGCAGAAAAATGACTTTCTATTGTCTTTAGGATAAAATTCAAACTCAAGATTAGGCTTATGAGACTCTCAGCTATTTACTCCTTGTTCTTTGGGTTTCAGTTTAAATGCACTTTCTGTCAGAAAACCATCCCTGCTCTCCTAGATTGGTTTAGGTGAGCTCTCACAGCATCTTGTACTTATCTTCATGTTGATACTTTTATACTGTATAGTAAGAATTACTTAAGAATGGCAAAATATATCTTGGTCACATATCCCTCATACTATACCTTAGTGTCTAGCACAGAGTATATGTTATTTAATAGAAACTGCATGAATAAATTATGTAAGCAGCTTCTGTGTTCCCATATTCCTAGTTCTCCGTATTTATAGCTCTGTGAAGTTGTAGACTAACTATATCTTGTTCTTAGAATTCCCTAGGTCTGGCACAATGCCCAGCATATTACAGTAGCTTAATAAATAGTGACAAACTAATTTTCACATTTTGGGAGCTAAAAATATTATTTAGATTATAGAATCTACAACTAAGGGCTTTAGTTAGAAACAGAAGATATTATGTAAATCTAATAAGGACCTTACAGGAATATACAACCAATTCAGAATTTGACTACATGCATTACAAGTCTGTGTTCAAGAAAAAACAGGTAAATGAAGAGCCATATAGTAAATGTGACATGTATACTCTTATATAGGACCTTTACTTGCCACCTTGGCCTCCATTCAAGGCGTAGTTGCAAGAAGAAACCTCTTTGCATTATCAAATACATGTTCAATTACTCTCTTAAAGGACAAAGCCATATACATAGTTCCAGTTCACAAAACATCTGTCATTACTTCCAATGATTTGTCTAGAAAGTAGAATCAAAATGTCAGAGCTATATGGTACTTACAGACCCTGTGGTCCAGTCAAACATGAAAAGCAATGCCTAGAGAATTTTTAGCAATTTAAACAGGGTCACATAGCTGGTTAATGGTAGAGCTGGACTAGGACCCAAGTTTCCACTCTTCCAATACGCTCATTTGTCTTTCATTTGTACTGTTTTGCCCAGTTTCCTGTTTTTCTTTTTGTATGTACAACAGGAGGTAAACTCATGTTCCTTACTTGGTAGAAGGTTTTTGACTTCCTGCTTGTCCTGGTTCATCTTGTTTTAATCCTGCAAGCAGGGCATCCTTTGAACAGTGCTTATCCTTTTTGAGAAAGAGGAAGTAAAAGAATACACATCAAGACCTTTAATGCAACCAGATGAGTTACTGACCAAAGAGTATTAATAAAGTGTACCTGTAAGTGTGTAATAAAAGAAAACCTCTGTCGCTGAAAAGGCTCACAACCTTCCCAAAGACACTGCCCTGGATATACATCTTTTCCTCCGTGTTCAGTTGCTGCATGGTAGAAAACCTGTGAGGGTGTCTGAAACCACCTACGAAAAAATAATAGAAACTTTGTGACACTTGGATACACTCTTTAAAATGGAAATCTTGCTCTGCTAATACAAACGCTTCAGCTCAGCATACAGAAATATTAAGCAAATTGGTGCAAGCAAATCTCAAGTTCATTTCATTTCAAAGATTATTTTGTACCAAATTTCTCTGCATATATTTCCAAGTTAAATCATTCAACTGTACTGAACTCTTTTGGTAATTTGTGTTAAGTTTAATATGTTTCATTCTCAATTACCTACAATCAATGAAGGTCAGCTAAGAATCTCTTGAAAGTAAATAAAGTGTCATTTAAAAAAACAATAGAACAATATTTTATAAAAAATACATCACCCTATTGTACTTTCAGAAGCTGTTCAAGCATTTACTAGGTTTCATATAACATATAATAAACTCCAGCAATATTCAATCTAACAATCTAAATGCTAAATGTTTTGGGAAATCTGGTTTTTTCATTGAATTCACACTTTGTATGTCTATGTTGAAGAAGTCTTATCTCTCATTTCTCCAGCATCATACCCTACTCATTCATATACCCTGGGGCTTAATAATACAAATGTCTGAGTAGGTAAGTGGCCAAGTACATGAACCTGAAGAAAGCCAGATACTATTCTCTCTTATTAATTAGAATACATAGCAATGAGAAAGAATACTGGAATTCAGATAGTAAAGAACACATTCAAAGGCTTCAATTACTAGCTAGTAACTCAAATATTTGTATAATCAGTATCTTTAAAGTTTATGGCAGAGCTCTTTTAGGATTTTACTTTTTATGAACGTCATATAAATTTGTCTATATTTCAACCAATTTTTGATGTTCAGTATACATACAATATTTCAAATTCATATTCCTTTAGGAAATGACTGACATTAAAATAAATTTTAATCAAAAGGGTAATTACATATTGAATTATAAAAGACAATGTAAAAAATCATTTTAGATTACATATTTCATACCATTCATATTCATCTATATAAATACCTACTAAATGTTTATTGTGAAACTATCATGGATTGGAAGAATTAATATTGTTAAAATGTCCACAGTACCCAAAGCAATGTACAAATTCAATGCAATCCCTGTCAAAATTCCAATGGCATTTTTCACAGAAATAGAACAAACAATCCTAAAATTTGTGTAGAACCACAAAAGATCCCAACCAGCTAAAGCTATCTTGAGAAAGAAGTACAAAGCTGGAGGCATCATGATCTTTGATTTCAAACTATATCACAAAGTTACAGTAATCAAATATTGGGTTGTCGGAAAAGTCATGACGTATCTTTCTATGTTTCTCACTGCAAAAATGTGTCATGACTTTTCTGACAACTCAATAGTATGGTATTGGCATAAAAACAGACATATTGATCAATGGGACAGAATACAGTGCCCAGAAATAAACCTATGCATATATGGTCAATTAACTTACGACAAATGAGCCATGAATATACAATGGGGACAGGATAAGTCTCTTCAATAAATGGTGTTGGAAAAGCTGGACAGCCATATGCAAAAGAATGAAACTGGACCATTATCTTATACTGTATACAAAAATTAACTGAAAGTGGATTAAAGACTTGAATGTAAGATCTGAAACCATAAAACTCCTGTAAGAAAACACAGATGATAAGTTCCTTGACACTGGTCTTGAGGGTGATTTTTTTGGATTTGACATCAAAAGCAAAGGCAACAAAAGCAAACATACACAAGTGGGACAACATCAAACTAAAATGCTTCTGCACAGCAAAGGGAACCATCAACAGAATGAAAAGGCTACCTATTAAAAGCAAATATTTGCAAATTACTTATCTAATAAGGGGTTAATATCCAAAATACATAAAGAACTCATACAACTCAACAGCAGAAAACTAGACAATCTGATTAAAAAATGGGCAGAGGATCTGAATATAAATATTTCCAAAGACATACAGATGGCCAGCAGGTACATGAAAAGATACTCAGTATTACAAATCACCAAGGGAAATGCAAATCAAAACCACAATGAAATACCACCTTACACCTGCTGGAATGGCTATTATCAAAAAGACAAGAAATAACAAGTGTTGGCAAGGATGTGGAGAAAAGGAGAACCTTGTACACTATTGGTGGGATTGCAAATTGGTGCAGCCATTATGAAAAGCAGAATGAAGGTTCCTGAAAAAATTAAACACATAACTACCATATGATCCAGTAATTCCACTTCTGGTTATTTATCCAAAGAAAATGAAAGCATTAAATTGAAAAGATATGCAACCCCATGTTCATTGCAGCATTGCTTATAACAGCCAAGATAAGGAAACAGCCTAAGTGTCCACTGATAGATGAATGGATAAAGAAAATGTGGTAGATATACAATGGAATATAATTCGGCCACAAAAAGAACGAAATCTTGCCATTTGCACCAACATGGATGGACCTAGAGAATAAGATGCTAAGTGAAATAACTCAGACAAAGACAGACAAATACCATATGATCTCACTTACATATGGAATCTAAACAAAACAAAAAACAAGCTCATAGATAGAGAACAGATTTGTGGTTGCCAGAGGTGGGGGGTCCAGGTGTGGGTGAAATGGGTGAAGGAAGTCAAAAGGGACAAACCTCTAGTTATAAAATAAATAAGTCATGGGACTATAATTAAAAAAAAGTTTAATGGGAAAGTAAAATCAGTAAGTACATTTTTAGTTTCAGAGTTTTTTAAATTTTCAGTACAGTTGTTCCCCGCTTAGCCATGATTTCGCTTTCCATAGTTTCAGTTACTCGTGGTCAATTGTGGGCTGAGAATATTAAATGGAAAATTCCAGAAATAAACAATTCATTACCTTTAAGTTGCCAATCTGGTTAGTATCGTGAAATCTCACATCATCTCACTCCTTCCCGCCTCGGACCTGAATCATCCCTTTGTCCAGTGTATCCACGCTGTACACACTCCCCTCCCATTAGTCACTCAGTGGCCCTCTCTGTTATCACACTGTCTGTCATGGTATCACAGGGCTCATGTCCAAGTAACCCTTCTTTTACTTAGTAATGGCCCCGAAGCTTAAGAGCAGGGATGCTGGAAATTTGGATATGCCAAAGAAAAACTGTAAAGTGCTTTCTTTGAGTAAAAAGGTGAAAGTTCTCAACTTATTAAGGAAAGAAAAAAAATTGTATGCTGAGGTTGCTAAAATTTACAGTAAGACGGAATCTTCTATCCACAAAATTGCAAAGAAGGAAAAAAATTCCTGCTAGTTTTGCTGTTGCACCTAAAACTGCAAAAGTTACAGCCACAGTGTGTGTTAAGTGCTTAGTATGAAAAGGCATTAAATTTGTGGGTGGGAGACATGAACAGAAAATGTGTTGCAACTGATGGCAAGGTGTTGTTGCCAGAAAGCACTGAACAAGACTTCAGCAACAAATCCCTTGAAACTAGTGACATCAAGCCTTGTCATGTAAGGGATGGTTAAGCAGAGGCAGGAATGTTTGGCATTTTATTATCTGACATCATCACAAGTAGAAGGGTGAGTACAGCACAATAAGATATTCTCAAGAGAGGGAGAGACCAAATTCACATAACTTTTATTACAGTATATTATTATAATTGTTGTATTTTTACTATTAGTTATTGTTAATCTCTTACTGTGCCCAATTTGTAAATTAAATTTTATCATAGGTATGTATGTGCAGGAAAACACATACTATATATAGGGTTTGGTACTACCCATAGTTTCAGGCATCCACTGGGGGGTCTTGGAAGGTGGATAAGGGGTACTCACAATGCTGTTTCATTAATATGAAATAAATATGAATGGAGCTCTGTTATACAGACTAAGAACTGTCACAAGGAAGCATTTCTTGTTATGTTTCTAAGATTTTACTTAAATACTATTAAATTACTAATTGAAAAGGTAAAGCTGTTTATACACACACACACACACACACACACACACACACGCAAACCAAAATTCAAATGCACTAATAGTCACTATTCAAAATGATAGTTATTTCTAAACTACTTCGCAGTATATTAAATGAATCGTTTGTTTACAATACACAAAATTAATGAATTTAACATGCACAAGAAAAAAGGATAAAGTTGGTGTTTCTTTAAATCAATTTTAATTACTAAATATATACAACTGTGTGTGTATGGTTTTAAGACAACAGGGATTTTTTTTTTTTTTTTTTTTAAGTGAGCCATCCTGCTACCTGTTGGCTGCTCAGCTCGGGCTGGACTCGAACCACTGTTGCTCAGAGCTCAAACTCTTGAGCGAGCTCTTAACCAACTGAGCCACTCGGCCGGCCCTAACAGGGATTTTTAAGTACTCATCACTTTACCTGCCCAACACAGAATCTACTGTTTCCCTCTTATCTACTGCCCTTTCCCTCAACCTAAGTCTATTTTCTCTCTATTTATCTAACCACTTATGTCACACAAACCATTCACATAGTGCAAGGTAAAGTTCTAATATAATAAAAGAAGCTGGTTGCAATGATCATATGAAGGTGATAAGAAGTTAAGGTTTCCAAATCCACTAAATGGAGTATCTGGATTTAAAATGTTTAAATGCAATTTCACAATTTTATGGATTCTTCTGGGATGGAGCGGGGAAAGAATAAGAGATAAGGTCGGGTGCCACTACTGCTTAGTAGTGTGCCTAGAACAATTTTCCCTATTACTACCTTTCCATCAATAATCAACCCCTACTCTCACCAATAACAACCTATTCATTTAAAGAAAATGTAAAAGTTCAAGAGTATCCAAAAAACATAAAAATTCCCTATGATTCAATTATCTAGATTGCTTACATTTTGGTGTATTTTCTTTAAGCTTCATCCCCCCCCACCCCCGTTTAAACAAAACCTGGACTGTTGTTGATATACTTTTATATGCTGCTGCCGCTGTACAACCATATATTGCCTTTGTACAAATGAAAAGAATGTCCTTCCTTATGATACTTCATTGCTCTCTCCTGAAATGCTGTTGTAATAAATATACAATT